TACAGGCAAGCAGACGAGCCCAGAACGTAATGCGTTAAATTGCACGTTAAACATTTTCCTCCCATAGAAAATCATTATTAATAAAACACGTAATGTAGCTTAATGAACAAAGACAATTATATAAAAGAGCTGTAGACAGTTTATTCTATATGGAAAAACGCTTAACGCGAAACTGTGCGTTTTGCGTTTATTCTGGGCTCACCTGCTTGCCTGTACATATTAGTTATGTATATTAATAATGTAGAGGAGCATACTGAGTTTGGCCTTTTTAGTCCATTATGCCACATCATGCCACGTTTTGCGGTATGGGAGGAAAATACTATATACATATTCATTATATTAATAAATTGTATATTTAATTTGATATTTTAATAGCATCTTAATACATTAAGCCATGTTAAGTGTTTATGTTTTTCTACAGGAGGAAAACGCTCAACGAGAGACTTTGTGCATTGCGTTCATATTCTGCTGTTTTGTGGCCACGGATTTGCGGGTCTTGTCTTTTTCTTGCAGGACCATGTACGTTATAGTAGACTAAATTAGTTTTAATCGTTTAATCACCACCACGCCGTCTTGTCTCCATTGGCAACACGCACGATTTGTGTCGATTGCAAGTGAGGTCACAGGTAGCGGAGAGTGCAAGTGACATTGTAATTTAGTTTATTTTTTATTGTCTTCACCACCTGGCTACTGTTGTAAAATGTTGAGAGATTCAAACAAAAAGTAATCAATAAATAGAACAAAATAAAAAATATAAAAGACTGCAAGTGATGTCACTTGCGGAAGCGCAAGTGTCTGAGAGTGCAAGTCCTAGAATGCAAGTCTGAGAGTGCAAGTCTGAGTGTGCAAGTGCAAGTCTGCAGCCAGACCCTTCTCGGAAGACCAGCTAAAACCATTTTTTTTAGCAGGGCTAATCCATGATTTTGACCTTTCAGTGATGCTTATGCTAATAAATCCCTTTGAAAGATAAAAACATTTTTACATTAGCCACCTGGGGAGCAAGAGCTCACTGACAGACACCATGAGGTGTGTTTGTTCCTTTGAAAATGCTGTCTGTTTTGCTACTCTCAGATAATTAGCATAGCTAAATGCTAACTACTGACCTATGTCTTACTCTTAAATGGCATGGAGAGAACACAACTGTCAATCATAGTCCTGATTTTATCACAGTGTAAGATGAGATCACAAAAAAAAAGAGGAAAATCATCCGGACAGCTGACGAAACCCCAAACAGAACAGCAGAGGCTAAACTTTGAATAATCCTCTTAAATATTGCTCTGTCAGCTTAATGACAAACACAAACAGCAACTATTTATCGTATTTTCTCACTGCTTTTCTGCTGTTGGCTAATAGGTACAACCCTGCATGCTATAATTGATGAGATGTTTCAAAAAGATGTCAAGGTTATTTCAGTAACCTCATGTAGGAGGTTTAGCTGTGGTAGGTAATAATGCAAATACACACACACACACACACACACACACACACACACACACACACACACACACACACGCACACAAGATGAATACTTAACTAATCAGCTCAATTAACACTATGAACGTGTGTGGGTTTCAAAAAGCTTGTTGATCCTATTTAGGGGTCCATGTCATAAATATATTTGATCACTTTTTATGATAATGTTAGCCAAGGTTTCTTGCACCAACAAATCTAATCAGTTTTACATGACCATTTTTCACTCTGTCTGACCTTTAGAACTGAATTAGGATTAACCTGTTATTTGCTACTGTACCTTTAAGATTTTCGATTTTGTAAGTAAACACCCTCTTCTACATCAGTGCTATTTATTTTCATGCTGAAATGTTTAGATATTCATCTTATATTATGAATAGAAACCAGTTTAACATTATTTTGTTTAATAACTTAAATTTTTTCTGCTTCTTTCTAAAATCAGGTGTAAAATGTGTTTTCATATATAATCTTAAATATGCTGCAATTTAAAAACAAGAAATTATTTCATTCTAATTTAGTTTATGAATCCAGCATATGTCACCAGAGAGAAAAATAAAAAAATATATATAAAAATGAACCTATGATCAAATCACAAAATAGATAGGACGGATTTTCCTTTCATGTCACATTTAATATTTTTCTCTCACAGTATAAATTGATTTTTATACTTGAAAGAGGAACATCACATTTGGAGATTCTTGTCATCAACAAGTTTGAGAAGCCCTGTGTTAATATCTGTTTGACAGATTTGGAACTTCCAATGTTTTCACGATACAACAAGTGTTATAATTCACAAACAAATGCAAATTTGAATATTTCATGATATGACCTGCTTTAAGTATAATGAACCCTAACATCCACCAGTGACACAAAATGCCCACATCTGCACTCCACCACTTTTCTGTCAAATTCCCGTTAGCGGCCCTTCTTCATGGCTGAGCGGTTGTTCTGATGTAAATAAAATTTATCTAATATTTCAGAAGAAAACTCTTTGTAACGTGAGGTCAGACTATGCTGCATAATGATTTGTCTGGTTCTCCCGTGCTCATTAAAACTGCTCTTGGCGTTTCACACTTTTCTGCACACCTGACAGGTCATCCATTTAGTTTCATACCTTCTGTAGCGGAACCTACAAGCCTCTCCTCACTAGCATCAGATCCATTACACCAGAGGAAATCCAACTAAAAGTTTGCAAGCCAGAACAAAAATCTGTTTTATAACTGGATGTGACTTATAACTGTGCCAGTGTCTGTTGCCATCTTTATACAACTACAATTCCCTACTGTATGAATGTCATTGCATAACAAATCTCAAACCCCCCTAAAAGCACTTAACAACTCTTTCTTTTCTGAACATTTTGATCTATTCATTTCAACCAGCTGATCTCAAGGTGATTTTTTAGTGAATGTATAATGTCCCTCAAGCTCACCTCACACAGATGTAGCAGAGCAGCCACAGTGCTTGTGCCGTTTTTCTTGATCTAAATAAATGCCACTTGGTTCAATGTTTTTTGTCAGCTATAACAATGCAGCAGTCTTGAAGTGTTTTGTGTGACATACCTTGACGCATTAGAGCCGCAACACCAAACCATAAACTATTCAACAGTGTGAAGTTGTTCTCAACCACTTCAGAAGACGGGTTGCAGGGGTGAGGGTTATACCATTCATATGGTGTGAACCTGCCAAGAGTCAAAGAAAACAGCTTTACACAGGAAAAAAAAATGCAGACAACACAGAAAACTGAGTATTAATACTGCGCTTGAGAGGCTGCATGTTTGGTGATTTCTAAACTGCTTTCGCAGAACAGCTAAAAATGGTCTTCTTGCTACAGGCTATCAATAACTTCTCCAACCAAAGCTTAATAAACATCTTGTTTTATGGGAAAACTTTCCAGTGTTTCAATCTCTACGGTTACCAAACGAAGAGAGAGCTGGAAAAGGAATCTTAAGTTTAACTGCAATGTGCGTTTACATTAACCAATTTAAATGTTAATTAAAAGTTTTTATTCCTGTAAAAAAGGGCTGTCAATTTATAATGCAAATGCAAATTTAATGGGACTAATTATAAAATTATTTTAATTAAAATGATTAAATTAATTATTAAAATAAAAAATAGCCATAAAAACTCTAAATGTTTATTTACTGAAAAAAAAAGCAGTTTTTTTTTTGCCTGTATTTAGAATTTCATTGCATTGTTTAAGGGTCAACGGAAATGTCCGTACAATTAATAGATGTCCTGGCAGAAAATTACCAGTGTTTCTTTAATTACCTGTAAAAAAAAAAATATATATTACTTAATAGCGCTGTCAATTTAACATATAAACCTGTGATTAAAAGTATATATATATTGAATTACTTTTAGTACACAACTTCTTGTAATGTTTATTCACTGCTCTTGTCTGCATCTAGATTACCAATATAATGTCAATTAACTGTTTTTTATTCCTGTAAAAATTCACAAAAATATTATTTATATGGATGCCAATTTAATATGTAAATTTACTGTGACTAATTCTAAAAGATTAATAAATATAAATATTTTATATTAATAAACAAGACCAATAAATAAATAACAAACAAGCTTTTTGAACACAAATTGCTGTAATGTTTATTCATTGCATTTGTCTGCCTTGAGCACTGTTGCATCACATATTTTTTTAATCAATACTTTTCCATCTTTTTTTTTAATACAGTGCTGGAAGCCAAAAAGGCAAACAACTGGCGGAAATTTCATTTTGAAAGTGATTACAGTTACACAAGAACATCTGAAAGACACATTCTCCATTCTACCACTCAATAATTGGGTCATTTATAAAACCCTCATGGTGAATCGATGCTTGATCAGAACGCATCACAAGACTCATTTGTCATGCCTCACGGTGTGTAGAATCTCACTCAATAAACTGCTACTATCAAAGCTGCCAAATTTCAAGATCACAGTTTAAAAGCCCCCCAGCAGACTGTATCTGTGAACAAATGGGTCATTCAGTGCAGATGAACCCACACTAACTCGGACACCCCACCAGATGACCATTTAAAGAGTCTGATTGGACAGCATTTTCATTGGCCATCTGCATTTTAATTGAACCAACCAATCATCTGGCTCTGATGGGGTAGTGTGGCATGCTTGATATTCTCTTTAGGCAGACGTGGACATCTGCCCAATGCTTATGAACTGGGCTTCAATACAGACACAAACTTGTACTCCCTCATACAAAATACAAAACATTGCTAACTGAGAAAGTGCATTATGTATTTATTGAGGAAAAAGTGCATCTGGACAACCATGACTGAAATTTTTACATCATTAATCTATATTCCGACAGCAATATAACAAAGTCTGGGCGCTGTGCTTATTACTTATTGATCTGTTTCAAGATCAAATCAGCATTTTAATTCTGGCGTCTCATAAGCGCAGTGATATGATATGAGAGAAATACACTGCTTTAAATGCACTCACACAAAGAAACGTGATATCTATCGGCACACTCTGCAAAACAGCTTTAAATTTTAAATCAGAGGGCGCAAAAACTTCTTGACAGCTTCAAAGAGATGTACGATGTTCCCTTAAGCTGCAGATAACAGCAATATTCTTCAAATAACAGCCTGATAATGTGTCTTCACATGTGATGTCAAACTATAAAACATTTGAAGACATTTTTTGAACAATTGGGTCAGTGTTCCTAGATCTGAAACCCAATTTGCACATTTGCTTTGCTATATTTCCAAGAAGCAAATGTTAAACCAAAACGTTCATCCATACCTGGCTATCACAAAGAGCACACAGCTCACTCCAAGACAGGCCAGCAGCACGTACATCCAGATATCCGGGGTGAGGGGGTTGAGGAAGGAGAAGACACCTGGATTGGTGCCGTTTGGTTTGCGGTACAGTATGCTGATGCCCAGGGTCATGAAGGGTTTGGAGAAGTCAATAACTTTCTCTCTGACATAAGTGATGGTCAGTGGAGCCACAGCCAGGTCAGCTATCTGGTTAAGGGGACAAAAAGAAGTTTACAAGACGACAAGAACTCATTTTGACTGCTGGGAAGAAAATGCAGATAGATGCAGATAATATTGGAGTTCAGTCACTGAGATACAAACAAGTGATGCCTGTGGGGATGAATCCCACAATCTGTTTGATGCTTCCTGTTGTTTTGTGAAGCTCATTTAAACAAAAGATGTGCAAAAAGGCTCTTTTATAGATTTGTATTCCTACTATACTGATAAATACTGCAAAGACACTGGGGGTTGACGAAGGTAATTAAAAACAAAATCTATGTAGAAGTATTCATAATCAATTTAAAACAGACTTTTTACAGCCAGATGAAAGCACAAATGCTGTTTTATATTAAAAAATATCTAATCAATTTTACAAAGTAAAAGATCTTGATGTATTGCATACACAAATGTAGTCTTCCTACCAAAGCTTTAGACTACTTAAACTTTTGGTAAATAAACATAATCAAGCAAATTAAACCAAACATGAAACAAAACATAATTCTTAGCTCTTCTAAATTGCCTGTGAAGAGCCAAGTTACAAAAACATCCATTAGAAACTGAAATTTCTTGGTTAATCAGAGTATTAAAGGGATAGTTCACCCCAAATTAAAAATTCTCTCACCCTCATGTCGTTCCAAACCTGTAAGACCTCCGTTCATCTTCAGAACACAAATTAAGATAGTTTTGATGAAATCTGAGAGCTTTCTGATCCTCCATAGACAGCAACGCAGCTACCATGTTCAAGGCTCACTAAGCTAGTAAGGGCATCATTAAAATAGTCCATGTGACATCAGTGGTTCAACCATAATTTTATTAAGCTACAAGAATACTTTTTGTGCGCAAAGAAAACAAAAATAATGACTTTATTCAACAATTTCTTCTCTTCATGTCAGTCTTCGACGCGCATTCACAATAGTACCACTGATGTCACATGGATTATTTTAATCATGTCCTTACTTCCTTTCTGGGCCTTGAACGTGGTTACTTGCATTGCTGTCTATGCAGGGTCAGAAAGCTCTCGGATTTAATCAAAAATATCTTAATTTGTGTTCAGAAGATGAACGAAGGTCTTACGGGGTTGGAACGACATGAGGGTGAGTAATTAATGACAGAATTATTAATCATTTTTGGGTTAACTATACCTTTAACAGTCAAGTCGTGGTCTCTAAATAGTGAGATCTAAACTGAAATATAGTGGAAGGCAGAAGGTCATTTACAAAGGCTGCATTTGGATGGTATGATCGAAAGACCTTGAACATTTTTGTAAAGCATCATGGGAGATCACTCACATGATCGATTAGTTCCCGCACCATGCCGTTCCATTCGCCTTTGTCATTCTGAGCTCCATATTTCCCATCAGAAACCAGCCTGACTTCGTAAGTGAATCCCAGGATGTTCGACAGCTCTTTTAGCAGGTCTAGACAGTAGCCTTCGAAGCGATCGTTCCCATACAGCACCTTGTCAGACTTCTTATACATAACGTAAGGGTTTTCCTGTTCACAAGATAAATTCACAAGCAATGATGCAGTTGGTAAAATGTATTATACTTGATTTAAATATGTCACAAAGGCAAAGTTAGCTGGGCAGATGAGAGTCAAAAACCAATTAAAAAACAAATGTAAAAAGTAGTTTTGTAAATACTAAAAATTGTATATATAATAGTGCCGTCAAACAATTTATCACGATTATTTGCATCCAAAAAGTTTGTGTTTACATAATATACAGTATGTGCGTAATGCAGGGGTGACCCCGAATACTCGACGATTCGATGCTTCGATAGGAGGATCCCGATTCGACTACCAATCTCACAGTCGAATATTCGCAGAGGTGTTATGATCATACCATTTTGGCTATAGGTGCTCAAATGTCTGATTTCACATAGAACTACCGGTTTTCTCCCAAAGTTAATATACAGCCTATTAAGATAATGCTGTAAATAAGAATCTGAAAAGAAAGAAGCTTTAAATAAATATTTTAATGTGCGTGAATAAATCCAACCACCCCTAAAGTTTCACTTTCCATAACCCGTGACCGACAGAGAAGCATCTTGGCAGCCGGGATTTAAATCTTTAACAAGACTCAAATTGACACAGGCAGAGTGAAAGACTGGATTTTTTCGATCAGGTAGGGTACAAGTGATTTCAAAACATTTCAGCCGGTTTATATATATATTGTGTATATATTATTTATCTCGTATAAGATGCATTTGGTTGAGTTGCACTGCAGTAAAGCGCTTCATTATAGTACTACGGTGATTATCTTTTCAGCGCGCAGCGCGAGCAGGACAAACAACAATGTATAATATTAATAACTATGACTGGGACTGTCATATACATAACATTGTAATGAGAACACTAATACAATAAAACACTGTGAATTTTTAGAGTTTAGTTGCCGTGTTTCTGCACGTTGTTGCGTGAAGAACGCGTCCACAAAAGGAGTTCATTCAGAGCCGCGCAGACACGTTCATGTGCATTCGGGGCATTTTGTGCAGATAAATTATGAATTAAATCCCACTGATTAAAAACCTGCAATCAAATACTTTATTCTACTGGTCATCTTCAGCGCGCACAGCTCAAAACAAAAATGCAGAACATTAACATTATAATGAGAGCACTATTAAATAAAAATTACATAAAAAATGTTTTACGTCTGACTTGACTCTTGTTAATGTATTTTGCCCCCCACCCCCAAACACATGATTTGACTATCAGTCGACTATCGGCAAGATTCGAAAATTCCGATTCGACTACGAAAATCCTTAGTTGGGGACACCCCTAGCGTAATGTGTATATTTGTTATGTATATATAAATACACACACATGCATGTATATATTTAAGAAAAATATGTTATGTTTATATATTAAATATATTTATATATAATATAAATTACATGAATATAAATATATGCATTTAAATACATGTAAATATTTTCAAAATATATACTGTATGTGTGTGTATTTATACATACATAATAAATATACACATTACGCACATACGTAAACAAAAACTTTTATTTTGGATACGATTAATCATGATTAATCATTTGACAGCACTAACATATAGTTCTATTTTTCCTCATGCATATACAATTATATTGCTAAAAACTAAATTTGGTGCACCAGTGAAACTATTCACAGGGTGAATACAAATTTGAACTACTGAAAAAGTTGGTTTACATAAATGAGGGAGTGAAATTGTAAGTTATAAGTTTACCAGGATTGTGGTGACGATAAGCGTTCTGTTAGCCATAGAGTCTGTGATGTTTTTGCTTTCTTTCATCTCAGTCAGTTTGAGGCCGGTATAAGAGTTCCATACTCCAATCTAACAATACAGTAAAAATTACAAGGCATGAAGAACATGAGTCTCTGTTTCTGAGATCACAATAAAAGAGGGACAGGCTTTATCAGTGAAGACTCATAAAATAGGTCAGGAAAGGAAAGGGAAAGAATAAAAACTAAATGAAAGAAAATTCTAGGTCTAATCCATTTGATTGTAAAGCACTCCTTTACTGCCCAATAAAACCCAGTAAAGCACTCAGCTACCCTATTTAATGCATGGTCTACAAATTATGAATGATTTTGATGCATTAATTATTAAATCACACAGGAAAAAAAATGCACTCTTACTTTTTACCTGAACAAAACATCAACATTTTTAAAGAGTTACACATTTGTCCACTAAAATAGAAGATCATAGTAAATATTCTTAATGCATCACACTTGAAAGCCATGCTGAATTGATGTTGTCATAAATAGGAAACACAATGACATATAAAGATGGAAGTCAAAAAAGATTATGAGAAATGCAATAGTTCTCTAGAAATAAAAGTGTGAAACTTTACTAATCCACTTGCTAACCAAATATATATAATACCATTCAAATTATTTCTGAAGGATCGTGTGAAACTGAAAGCTGGAGTAATGTCTGCTTAATGAAGCAGAAAACGTTCTTTCCAACAATTCTGCAAACAAAACAATGTCATCAGGATATGTTGTATTTTAAATGGAACTACTTTTACAATAAATAAAGAGGATTTTATTGTTTGACAAGCTTGAGGAGTTTGATATCTTAAAAAAATATGATCACAAAAGAAGATATTACCTGATACACCCTCAGTCTTATTTAAACTACAAACTGCATTAGAGGAATCAAATTATTCTTTATCTTTTGAGAAAAGAGTGAAAAGCTTATTCACGAAATAAAAAGTTAAAAAGGTAATTGCGACTTTTTATCTCACAATTCTGAGTTTTCTCAAAACTGCGAGATTATATTGTGCAATTCTGTTTTTTTCACAAGTCTGAATTGTGAGATATAAACATGCTTTAAAAATATATAAGTTTGCAATTATCTTCTTTAATTTTTTACTCTGTAAATGAAAATCTGTTTCCATTAAAATCAACACTTTGCACACTTTTGTAAACCTGTTGCCAAATTACTAAATAACATTTAATAAAAGCTGAATTTTCAATTCTAAGGATCTAAAGGGTAGAAAGTGGTTTGAAAAGCTAAATTATGACAGTTTTTGACACGCTAATTTGACTAACATTATACAGGATCTTAAAATAAAATAATAATTAAAAGTATGATATGATCCCTTTAAAATAGGATGTCAGCAGTAAAGGAATTAAACCAAACTTGCTTTTCTCTGCTTAATAAACCCTTTGTTAACACAAGCATAATCTAGTGCATGTTTATGTATGGCACTTGTCACACAGCTCATATGAGTCTGAAATGAGCGACTTATTCAAATGAATTTTAAAAGTAGATTAGAGCTGCTCTCTAAATATCTGCCCGTGGATTAATGCACGTTTTTCTGCACGCCTGAGCAGGCTTGTATGGAGATGTGTTACTTACTGAAGCACAAAGCATTGCAGAAAATGCAATGCTGGAAATTTTACAGTGCTGGATATTGAGTATGGTGATTTAAATGTCATAACTATAACTGGCACACAGTATGCATCTCAGCGAGACATTCTGGCAGAAGTGACTGGCAGCGATCACTTTCCATAAGGAAGTGAAGGGATTTCTGCAGGGAGAGGGAAGCCGATGAAAGGGAACTGGGTTTACTGAAGTGAATTTCACACAGGGGAGGAAATCCAAGCTCTCCACAGGTCTTAATCACGAACTCAGGGAATGAAACCAAGACTGGAACAAACCTTTGTCCATAATTTAGTAGGTTGTGATGCAGCATCAGCCGCTCGCTTTTAGGAAGAATTGAAGAGTTGTGTAGTCAGCATGGGAGCAACAAGGTCAATACAAATGATCTGGATAATCAATAGGTCTGCTTTGAGAAAAACATTCAAAAGTCCACTCACAGGGAATTTATTTAATCTATACTGAACTACATAAAGAAACTCAATTCAAGGTTTCCAGTCATTTCTGCTGCTGTGGAAATCATATCACTGAACGTCTCTCATCGGCATCCAGCTAAGCTGACTCACCTTTGCTGTGCCATCCTCCTTGAGGCTGATGAGGTCTAAGTTGAACTCTTTCCGCAGACCATCAGTCTTGTTAAGGACTATCCGTCCTGTCAAACCATCCCATTGGGCCTGAGGCACAAAAACAGTATACAATGAGAATGATGCACAACATCGGTTTTACTGCTGTGTCTTTCAATCATAGTGGTAATGGAATATTATGCAGCCTTGGGGCATGTGTGTTTGTTAACAAAAAAAACAGTTTCAACTAAACATTTTGCTGGTCAGTTAAATTTTAGTAGAATGGACTATTGTGAAGATAAATAGAGTTTAAACATGAACACTTGGATCATGTGCTTTAGGTTTGCCCAATGATAAATAAACTGTAAATTAATGTATTATATCTCAAGTTTTACCGTGGGGAAAAAGCAGCACTTACTCTAATATAAGGGAAAATAGCAATATTTAAATGTAACATCAGTAATAGTTAACCCAAGAATGAAAATTCTGTCATCATTTACTCACCCTCATGTCATTCCAAACCTGTATGAGTTCCTTTCTTATGTTAAACATGAAAGAAGATATTCTGAAGAATGCTGTTAATCAAATGTTTGATGGTCCCCATTGACTTCCATTGTTTTCTTCCCTACTATGGAAGTCAATGGGGACCAACAACTGTTTGGTTTTTCAAAATATCTTCTTTTGTGTTCAACATAAGAAAGAAACATATACGGGTTTGGAATGTCATGAGGGTGAGTAAATGATGACAAAATATTCATTTTTGGGTGAACTATTCCTTTAATGCAAGTGGCCACATCAAGTCAAGTAAACAATGTCTTCCATTTGTAATTCTTAATTTTATGGTGACAGTTTCATTTATAATACATCAAATCATACATTTGGGGTCCATGAGGTTTTTGTTTTTAATGTTTTCTCTCTTATGCTCACAAAGGCTGCATTTATTTGATAAAAAATAGTCAAAGTCACCTTTATTTTCTAGAGCTTTATACATTACAAAATGTGTCAGAGCAGTTTCACAGAGATAAACAGAAATATAAGAGAATCAGTTATGGAAACTCAACTATGGAGACAGTTCAGATTCTGCAGTAAAGCAGCTCTAAAAAACAATAGTGTCATTATTCAGCTCGAATCGATTTAGTACATAGAAAAACAGTAATATTGTTTAACAGTATTACAATTTTAACGTTTTTTCAAAAGATCAATGTAAATTTGAAACAGAAATCTTTTGTAACATTATAAGTGTCTTTTAATCAATTTAATGTGTCCCCGCTTAATACAAGTATTAATTTCTTTAAAAGAAAAATCTCAGTGTAGTGCACGGTGGTGTACAACATATTAAACCGATGTCTCTCCTTCAATGTTTGTGTTGTTTTTGTGCCCAAATTTGGTAACAGTATTACAAAACATCTGTGTTGTTCCTCTGTGAATAAATATAACCAGCTGGTTCTAGTTCAGCGGAAATGAGGGTCCAAACCAGCTCCTATTTGCAATATTAAAGTGTGGATGACGGGGACTGTTGTGACTTACCAAAAAACAAATCTTAGAGGTTCAACTTTATTAAAACAGGCTATACTAACTTGCTATGGTGAGTTTACATACAGTCTGACATTAATATTAAAGCCATTCTTAACAATATTAAGATGTGTCTAATGTTTGAGGATGTTTTATATTGACTTTAGCATGTATAATATACCTAAAATCAAATGATCATGTCACAGCCTTTTAATTTACTGTTACACTCAGTCACATGCAACTACTACAATTATGTGCATTACAAATGTAAGATCAGACTGTGTACTTGTAGTTTAACGGCATACTTCTAAATTAAGTTATATGTACATTTTTATATATTTTTTAAATGAATAAAAACTGATTTCACACAGATTATGACGCCAATACATCAGAGCTGTTAGGCTTCATTTTCTGAATAAATGACAAGTGCTCTTCCCTACACTGTGTGGTCAGGCCTGACTGTATATTGTTCCCAAAAGCAAAAACATCAAGCTAGCGTCATTTCATTTCCCCTAGCTTTGTTGTACCAAAAATGAGAGCAAACAATCTCAGAATTCAATCAGCTGAGGCAACTAAGGAAGAGTAATAGCTCTGTTCAAGCCCTCTCTAGCTTTGATAAGTGGGTGGGATATCAGAAAAACAGCACTTCTGTTCTCAAGGTTGCAGTGTTTCTCAGAGCACATCTCAAAATAACAGGCAACGGCTGGCCTTCAACATGTCACCAGCTCATGCCCAGGTGGATACAGCTTCACTATCCCGCAGGATACTTGGAGACTTGATGATGACCTCGATGTAAACCATTTCTACCATTTCAGGGAACTGTAATGGAGCCACTGGAGACAAGTGGTGCACTGCATAATAATGTGTTCACATATGCCAGGAATTATATAAATATATATATTTATTTTACTAATTTGTCATTTAGCTGACACTTGTCCAAAGTACCCCTGGAGCAACCCAAGTGCCTTGCTCAAGGCCAAAACATTGCTAGTGCATAGGGCATCTTCTGTGGGATTTGAACCTACAACCTTTGGGTTACACAAACCTTTAACCACTATGCTGAACCACCAGTTCTTATATACAACATACTTTTCTGAGACATCTGGCATCTATATAGATCAAGCCTGCTGGGTAGAATACTGGTCTGTTAGTGCTGACTTACTGTCATATCCACTGAATTGCAGTGGCGGTTAACAATGGTCACATGACTGGTCACTTTAAATGTCTTTGATTTGTGGGGTGAGAGAAGAAAAGCTTTTGGCCATGAAGTCAGGCTTGGATTATAAGCATTGCAAAAACAAAACAAAACAAAACAAAATGAATAAAGTAACGATTACAAATGCAAAAACATTAAAAAGCAGGAATGTGAATATTTTCTTAACATATAAACTTGCTTTAACCAGTGTAACTTCAATTACGGTTGTTGCAACATTTTATTTCTTTCTAAAAGCCAAAATGCTCTTGTGTGTATAATATGATAATGACAACACATTTCCCTTGTTTTTTTTGAGAAGCAGAGGGTGGTGACCCTAATATGTGGATCACAAACATTTTTAGTGCCAAAAATAACATAATTATACTTATTTTTCACTTCAAACCTACAATTTGGCCGCAAGCAGGGATAAATACTGTGAAAATCTCCCTTACACGTGTGACTAGAGCTGTGGGTCTTTTATGCAGTGCCGTTTCGTCAGAATCATATGCAGTGGAATATAATCAATGCTCCTTAAATGGGGTGTAAAAACATTTTTCTTTTTTTCTGCTACAGTACAGGAGCTCCATAATTTGAAATAATATTTCACGTAATACATTCTGTAGCTTTTTCCTCATAAAAGGCAGACCCCATAAGCAAAACCACACTGATCAGCATCTCCTGCCCAACGGGTCAACATAAACAAATACTACATTTAAAGCTGTTCAGCCTTCTGTCACAGTTGATTAATCACACCGAAATTCACATTACAGTACTTAAGTGAGTGAAAATGTCTTAAATGGACAGGACAAGCAAGAAAAAGAGTAAATGAAATGAAGAGGGATTTTATTTGTCCTGGCAATCTATTTAAAACACTCCAGCATTGCTGCTGCTGTAGTTAAAGTGAAGAATTTCAATGGCCGCAGCACATATGCAGTTCACAGAAGGATGTGTTTTTGTACCCTACAACATTTCGCACATTAAGAGTGTTCCTAGCTTAGTGTCTGTAGAGAGGCCTCTTACAACACAGCGTTCTATGGCTTTAATGGGGTTGTATTACAGAGTTTATGGGTCATTAAAATGTAGCATCTGGACTCATTAGTGTTCGTCTTAGTGTTGGCATGTATAGAAAACTAACTGCACACATGCTCAACTCAAAACAAGCCTAATTAGACACTTATACATGAAGTGCGACATTTTTCAGATGCTCAGTACTTTCTCCATTCCCAGTTTAACATGTGATTTAAAGCCATTTAAAGGTTAGTTTCCTTTAAAGTGTAAACACTGTAGCTCTGTGGCATTTTCAAAACCGAGCTCTGTGTATTTGAGCAGCCCAAAAATAGCAGCATTGCCTCAACCAATAGCATGAGTTTGTGGATTTTTTGATCAATGGAGGATGGTGAAAATGTTCAAGGAAACCTGTTTGAAAACAGTCATTATGTTTACAATTTCATTTGGTGACACTAGTAGAGTATAACAATTGGGTTCTGAAAGTAAAAATCCCATTAATTTTCTCCACAGGGGAACTGATTTTGAAAGATAACTTTTAAAGATAGACCTACTGTGAGCTACAAGGCTGTTAATCAATGGCTTCTGTTGAAGCCATCAGTTCAAGTTATTTTTTAAATAAACTTTTGTTGGATAGCGAAATTCCTGGGGAAAAACTACAATGATGCTGCAATGCAGGCAATGAAAATTAACCATGATTCTGCAGAGAAATCTCCATAAATCAGAGAAGCAAATCACACCAAAAGAACACTACAGCGCCCACCCACTGCTATTATGTTTACAATTTCATTTGATGCTATTGGTGCAGAAATGACAAGCTTCAGCTTTAACATTGTTGTATGCAATGTTAGCCACATTGTTAACTTGCACCACAGAATTAGATCGCCTTTCCTTCATTGAAACCACACACCTCTCCAAAACCATTCAAAGACATGTCAACAAACCAGACAGCAAATCCAAATGTGCGAAATGACTTGCAGTTGGCCTGGTGCTAAATTTTTTGACAGGCCTTTCTGTTGTTTACAGAGTCTAGGCCTGTCACAGAGATAAGTGTGATTCCTCATGAAACCTTTTTCAGTGATATCTGTCAGGTAGTAGCGTAGGTAATAAAAAAATTGCTAACAGCAGCTTTAAGTCATGTGGTGCTCTGTGATTAAGGTGCAAACTGAGTACCAAGGACTGAGGGTTCCTAGTTCAAACACATATGGCAGACTCAAGCAGGGAAATAAATTCACCCTCTGCAGTGCTGAGCCATGCTGGGCCGCCCTCTCTCTAATGCACTGTGACACTATTCATTTTTATATATAGAAACAAAAAATCTACCATAAAGCCTCTTCCATTTCTAAAGCCAGTAACACTCCGACTGCTGAGACGCTATGCAAGTGGAACTGAAAGCATA